TGAATACCTTCCAAACTTATTGGAGCAGAAGGAGTGAGATAGCGAGCTGAGAAAATCTCTGCGGGAATTTCATGGATTTATGTTACTGCTCCTCCTTTTGCCTTGAGTCAGACCCCAGTTCTGGGGTTCGCTAGTGTAACTTCTCTTCAGAAAAAAAAAAAAGACTGGTGGGTCTCTATGCTCACATTTTTTATTGATCCATATGAATCCACCAGTTTTGAGACAAACATTCTCTGAAATTAGTTGGCTAGGAATCCTGTCTAAATACAGATTTAAATTTATTTTTAGTTGCATGGGTTTGTGGCCTCCTTATCACTTTGTTAAGCAGTTCTGCAATACAACCAAAGCTTAATATGTCTCTGGTATATGAGCTACCTGAAGGAACCCCTTAGGCAAAAACATATTAAATTTTTAAATCACAGATAACCATGAAACTAAGCAATTGCAAATTTATAAGCATAGCAAACTTCAGTACACTATCAGAAAAACTATGTATTGCAATGAAATTAAAATGCCACCATCTTGACTTCTGCTACCAACAGTAGGATCACTGCTGTTGGTAGAAAAAAATCCACTAACAATAAGCTGATAGGGCCACAATGTTCTGTTATCTAGTGACACCGCTGAGAATTATTGCCCATCTGTGTGCCAGAAGACAAGTGCTTCTCATCGTGACTGAAATGAAGTGGAAGAATGAGGGCTAATATGCTCGTAAATGCACATGCCAAGAGTCATGTAAGTGGCTGGGGGCTCACTAAGCAGGTTACCTCTGTAACTTCAGATGCAGAGTTGACAACCTTTTGAATTCATACTGCCCTCTCCCATTTTTATTGAAAAGCTATTTTCATATTTGGAGTAGCTTTTCTTTTTTTTCTTTTTTTTTTCCTTCTTTTTGTAATGGTAGCCTTTCAAACGTTGTGGGATATTTAAGTATTAGCCATACTTCTCTGTATTTAAAAATATCAGTCAGCAGTGTTTTAAAATCTCTCTTCCCAATTTATGCATCATCGTTATTTTTGGAACATATACTTTAATTTCACCAACAGAGGTCAGTAAACCACTGAAAGAGAACCATAAGTGTTTGGCGAGAACACACCCTCGTCAATCTTTCTAACATCTTTCTGATAGTTTTGTTCAAAGGGCTCTTGTTCAGCTGCTTCAGTAAATATAAGCTTAGTTAACTAAAAGAAAAAAAAGAAGAGAGTATATGCTTATGCGCGCAGGAGCATGAGTTTTATTAGGGATATGAGTTACAGAAAATACTACACTGCTAAAAATCTTTTAGCATTAGAATATATTTGAAATACCTGCTATGACGCCAATAGCATACATACATGCATAGGTATGATCATTGCTAAATCAATTTGTCAAGGTTAAAACAGGCTGTGATTTAAATGGTAGTATTTTGACTGATCTGCTGAATTCTACCTTTCAAGCTTTGTGCTATTGAAAACCAACCTAGTGCGGAGAGAGTATGAAGAGGAGGATCCCGGAGAAGTAACATTTAATGATATTAAAATACCAGATTGAAGCGCAGGAGAAACTAAGAGCTGTCACCGACTTGCTCATTTTGGCAGTAACACTCAGCTAATGGAACTATATTAACACATCATTTTCCAACTTTCAACTGTAATGAAAAGCTATTTTTACAAATCATTACTTTCGGTATATGGTGTTTCAGCCACGTGGATTCTATTAGTGTACAGGGGAGTTTCACAACTAAAGCTGCCTGTGCAGTACTGAAAGTGCACCTTTTATGTTGAGCTAATCCCAGAGGGGAGTCAGCACTCGCGCCTGTGTCCTTTTGACCTTTATCCTTTTAATGCATTTTGCCTCAGTAGCAAAAGGTGAAAACCTAGTTTTTATGTTTCAAAACAGACCGCTTCAACAGCAATTCTCTATGAAGCTAAGGAAAGTAACATATGCTCCTGTGGAAACGTTGAAAGTCCCTAGTTCAGCAATCAACAATAGCTTTACAAACGTATTTTTATAATCACTTTTCTGGTAGCCCTTTGAAGCTCACCCGTACGGCCTCGCTACCACCCCTCTCAACAGCTGTGAGCATGCGAAGCCACTGGAGTGGAAGATGTTAATTATCATCAGCTACTGGAATTTCTCCAGGGACCACTTGTGGTTAGAAACATGCTTCCCTAAAGAACTGCACTAGGCGCTGGGATCATCTCTCCTGTAGCTTATCCGAGTCCCTCCGCTTAAGCAAAAGAAATAATCAATTAAAACTCCCTATCTTCACTCTTAAAGTGTTCTTCTCTCAGGACACGATTGTGTGATTTTCCTAAGCAATCTTAACTGTAAAAATCTTTTATTTCTGTGAACAGAGTTCCAACAATAGGCATTTTCATGTATATGTGAGTTTCCCAGGGACTAGGTTTAGCATACATACAGATTTTGACTAAAACTGGAGAAACAAGTCTAAAATGAAATAGGAACAAAACCAGAAAGCATAGAAGACAGACAAATTGATGGACACAACTGCATGTGGTTTGGTGGTTTTTTTCCCCTATCAAGAGTCATTTGTATTTCCTTTTTATGGCCAAGAAAAAGCTACGCAACCTTCCCCCCACGTCATCAGAAAACCATACACACAAAAATGGTCTTTCCCCTTCTGCTTTACCTCCCGCTATTCAGTGGCATTTTGAGTCTAAACTAGTTAGCATCAGGGGCTTCATGTGATGTCAGCAGGTGAGATATTCCCCACGGGAACCAAAACAATAGTAGATGAGCTGGCAGGAAGATCTCCAGAAAAGGAAATAACAGAAAAGCAAGATTCCAAGCCTAGCCTTTTACTGTGACTACTACAAAGCACCTTTAATGGCCAAATACATCCTTAAATTATACGTTGTAGATCCCTCTGTGGTAGTTAAACCTAGTAATCACTACCACCCCCACAAAAAGACCAAGTCGGGTCAGTCTCTAGCTGCAGAGAAACCAAGATGAACTCAGTAATCTGCAGGACTTGACTCCCAACGTGCTAAGAAGAATGCTGAGGACAGTTCACTTGCCCTTTGCTGTGGATGAGTATGGCACGTTCCCCAGCACTTTATGAAGTGACATAGAGCCTTTTTTGATAACTTACAGGAGCTTAAGAAAAACAGCCACCCTGCTCTCTAAGAATGCTGTCCCTTTCCTGTAAGGGCACAGGAAATCCCCCTCCGCCCCCCGGAGGAAGGGGTAAGCAGGAGGAAGGAAACTGAACCTAATGGAAAGTAAACATGTCAACTGTGAAAACAGTAACGACCAGTAACTACAAAAATCCTTCCCTGCTATACCCAAGGACAATGAGTACTCTGGTATTTCAGTTATTCAGTGTTTACAGAGTTAAACCCCCCACAATCACTGGCCAATTCCCTTCTGTGTACACCATTAGTGCTGTTGTATTGTACACCTTCTCCAGTTCAACATCAAATACAGTGATCGAGATGTAGATACAGTCAAGATGGATTGCTTAATTCTTCCAAAATGGTCACTGCTTAATGGCATAGACCTATTAACTCCGGGTCAGCTGCTGTAGGCCTTTACAAGCCACAGAAAGTAACAGAATAGGTGTTCCCCAGCT